TCGAGCCAAAAAACGTTGATTACAGTGTATGTGTGCATGGACACAAAGGGTAACATGCTGGGGGTGGGGGGGGGGGGGGGGGGGGTTACTAGCTGTAGAAAAAAAGCATCAAAAGCCAAAAACAGCAGCTGTAAAAACATACCGTGTGCATGAGGACTAAGGGCTCGTTCACACTTGACTGTTTTACTAACGCTTGCCAAACGCCCCTATAGCATTTCGCAAGCATTGGTCCGGCGTTTGCGGAGCGTTTTTTAATGCTCGCCAAACGCTCTGCAAACGCCGCATGCGCGGTTTAGCGGAAGTTGCTAGGCATTTGCCGTGCATTAAAAACACCCCACAAACGCCGATAATGAAGTTCGAATGGTGTTACCACTCTGCAAATGCCCCGCAGCCACGTCGCAACCGCACCACAAGCGCTGGCCGGGCGTTTGCGGAGTGGCACCATAGACTAGAATAGGAGGCTTCAAAGCCTCCTGACTCGACCAGAGGCGTCCATTTTGCCGCCACAACGCGACGCTAACGCTCTCGTTAGAACAGCACCATGTGCTGCAATGTGCAGAATTATCCGAGGCGTTTGGGAATCAAAAAAAAAACGCTTCCCAAACGCCTCTCTGCTGCCTGCAAACAGCGCTAGTGTGAACGTAGCCTTACTGTGAGTGGTTCGCAGGTGGTTAAATAGAAGGGGAGATGGTTTGGCTGGGCTGCGTATGTAGCTAATTGATTCAACAACAGGTGGATAACCAGTCAAGAACACAAGTCTTGTGGGATAAAGGGTAACAGCAGAACCTTGCAAGTTAAAGCTATGGAATTACATGTACCAGCATGCCTGTTGATCTTTGGGAATTGACACAGATCTGTAAAAAAGCCACCGTTGTGATCTCTGAGGAGCTTTGAGAATAAATTACTTCAAAGTCCATGCTGCTAGAGAGGTCAGTGAGGACTTGCTATAACCATTTCCCTACTGGGCACTTTTTCCCCCTTCCTGTCCAGGCCAATTTTCAGCTTTCAGAGCTGTTGCACTTTGAGTACAGTGTTGCTTGACCACACAATTGTTATTCAAACAAAATGATCATTTTTTTGAGACAGATAGAGCTTTTTTTTGGTGGTATTTAATTACCTTTTGGGTTTTTTATTTTTTGCTAAACAAACTAAAAAAGAATGAAACATTTTGAAAAAAAAAAGTTTTTTCTTAGTTTCTGTTATAAAATTTTGTAAATACATTTTTCTCCTTCACTGATGTGCTCTAATGAGGCTGCAGTGATGGGCACTGATAGGCTACACTGATGGGCATTGACAGGCATCTCTGGTGGGCATTGACAGGCATCACTGATGGACACTGAAAGGCAGCACTCATATATGGCACTGATAGGTGGCACTGATGGGCACTGATAGGTGGCACTGACTGGCACTGATTGACACTGATAGGTGGCACTGATAGGCAGCACTGAAAGGCAGCTCTGATGGGCACTGACATGTGGCATTGATGTGCACTGATATGTGGCATTGCTATGCACTGACAGGTGGCAATTATGGGCACCGACAGGTGGCACTGATGGGGCTACACTGATCATCAGGGCACTGGTGATCAGTGCCCTGTTGATCAGTGTACATGTCCCCTCTGAGGAATGCCACTTACCGGCTCTCCTCTCCTCAAGCGCTGTCAGTGTGAGGAGAGGACTGCTAATAACCGCCATTTCCTATTTACACTCAATCAGCTGTGTTTGGACACAGCTGATCACATGATAGAGCCACTGTCATCAGCTTTTTACTGTGATTGATGATCCGGGGTGATCCGGATCACCAATTGGCGCTCCCCTGGGGGCGCGTATGCGCAGCAAAAGTGGGAGGACATCATATGATGTTCTCCCAGAACAAGCGAACTGCCACCCTTCCGTCACTTCCTTATATGGCAGGTGGGAGGCGGTTAAAGTGATTTTATTGCTTGTTATGACTACTTTTTTTTTTTTTTTTACATTTTTAAAATTTAATTTAGTTTAACATGTATAATATACAGAAAATACAATTAGTAACTGGCACAGCCAGTGAGAACAAAAGTAAAACAACAAAATTATCCCCACCTCCCGCCCCCCTTACCTACAATAGTGCAATGCCTTCATTAAAACAGAGTCAAAGTCTAGGTGCTCCAACAGTACAAAATAGTGACTTCATATGTACCATACCCAGAGAACCACAAGCAAGGTAATATTAGACAATCAATGTATATAATCTATTTCGCAACAGATACCAAGGACCAAACATAGTAGCAGGCAACATCTGCAAACCCCCCAAATAGGTTCATGCTAGAGTAGAGGAAGCAGAAACCCAATTCCAGACTTTATAGAATTTTTAGGGGGAAACTTCTGCTCAAGTAGGTCGCCTTATTTAATGGTAACATATTGTCAATCAGGGATTTCCAATAAGAGATAGTGGGAGCCCATAAGAGATAGTGGGAGCTTCAGGTTTTTTTTCAATGAGATAGCCTTATGAGCATAGAACAGGTTCACTGAAAGAGGGTTTGCTGTGCGCGTAGAGGTGCCAACTCCTTCACCAACCCAAGAAGGCACACCGATACATTTTGCGGAATTTGCAATGTGGTGATATCAACCAGAGACCGCACCACCTCACGCCAAAAGTCTTGAATCTTTGGGCAGTACTAAAAAATATGGTCAAAGTTCACTAAAGAAGATGTACAACGCCAGCATTCCACCGAATCTGAGGCATATATACGTGTTAGCCTAGCGGACGTGTTGTATATTCTATGCACCAGTTTAACCACTTCAATACCGGGCACTTATATCCCCTTCCTGCCCAGGCATTTTTTCAGCTTTCAGCGCTGTCGCACTTTGAATGCAATTGTGCGGTCATGCAACACTGTACCCATATGAAATTTTTATAATTTTTTTCACACAAATAGAGCTTTCTTTTGGTGGTATTTAATCACCACTGAGTTTTTTATTTTTTGCTAAATAAAACAAAAAACACCTGAAACGTTTAAATAAAATGCAATTTTCTTCGTTTCTGTTATAAAATTTTGCAAATAAATAAGATTTCTTCATAAATTTAGGTCAAAATGTGTTCTGCTATATTTATTTGGTGAAAATCATAATATTAATTAAGTTTCTATTTTTTTTCAAATGTTTCTATTTTTTTTTTAATTTTTTATAAAATGTGTTCTTTTTTTTTACTATTTTATTTTTCAGCACACTGTGACCAAAGCAATACAATCTTACCATAGTAATATTGAACTACTCTCGGCAAGTGATCAGTGATTTTGTTTTTTTAATACATTATGATTGCTAATATCAATGTATTTCATTGAAATTTGCAATCATTGTTACTGAATCAAACTGATTCATTCAGTCTTTTGTTGTGAATAGCTGTGATTGAGCAAAGCTGATCACATGATACAGATGGGCTGTGATTGGCCCTGTCTGTATCATGTGACTGCCTTGACCAGTCACAGCTAACAACATAATTGTATAAAATGAATGACATGAATGGAAGCCATTCATTGTATACAATTGATATCTAGATTGCAAGCTCTAATGAGCAGGGCCCTCTGTTTCCTCTTGTACCAAATTGTATTGTAACTGTAATGTCTACCTTCATTTTGTAAAGCCGGTGTAGTGATATGTCATCGGCTGTGTCCCGTGGACACAGCCAGTGACAGATCGCGTGACCGTGTGACCGACTCGTTTTGACAGGACATCATATGACACCCAGTTCCACTCGGCTATCAATCTGCTATAGGCTGGGCAGGAAGGTGTTAAATTGAATGAGTTGGTCTCTGGCAGATACCAAGTTGCAGAAGGGATAGTCCCACATATCATCCCAGTCATCCCCTTGCAGATCTGGGACCACAGATATCCATTGCGTCCAGCATTTCTCTAAAGACTTAGGTCTGGTGACAAAGAGCTCTTTGTATACTTCAGATAACGTTTTCGTAAGAGTATCAGAGCTGAGAAACTGTTCCAGCTCTGTGGACCTGACAACTAGGGAAGTACCACCAAACTGCACTACAAAAGCATGATGGAGCTGGAAGTATCTAAAGTATCTAAAAAAAATGCCAGTTAGAGAGGTGAAACCTGAGTTTAAGTTCATCAGAGTTAAGAAGCCTATAGGTCTCCAGCATATCCCTCAGTTACTTAGTCCCATTAGTAGCCCAGTATGTGGGGTCAGGAAAGTTGAGTCGTCCTGCGGAAGATTTACTGTTATCCCGAGAGTGTGTCTTGTGGAGGCGTTCCGGTTTAAGAGGAGCAATGGGTCTAATGGATAATAATGAAGCTATATGATCAGGATTGGCCTGTGGTAACCAGGTAACAGGGGCAGACGGGGACCTACTGGGGGGTCTGGCCACAATTTTGGGCTTTTTCCAATTAAATATTCTATTGGTGCTATAATCCTCAATTTTCCCATGGAATTTTGGGAGTTTTAATATTGTGGTTCATTAAAACTTTTCTTATATACTGCACTCAGAGGGCGCCTCTCTCCTTCCTTTTTCTTTTAACTCATTGTAGTAGACAATGCTACAACAATGATTTCCACTTGCTTCTGGGTCTCATGCCAAGAGGATTCCCTGTTGCATTTTAGCCCACTCAACACAGGAACCATTCAGAGAATGCTTTGCTTTTTCTCAATGAACATCATGATTAGTTGAGGTGACCCTACTGCCCCATCTCTCTGCCTTATCCAATCAAAGAATGCTTTGCATTCATTGAGTAAAGCGATCTCTGCATGGTGCCTCCCATATTTACAGTTCAGCAGGGCAGCAGCTTAGCACGGGATACGGAAACTAGTGGAGATCACTGTAGTAACAGTGATTTCCAGCTTCCACAGGGGATCCCACAGATATGGCTTATGCATAGTTACATTGGTCCAAGCTGGACAATGTAACTATTTAAAATATTCATACCTGGAATTCATCTTTAAAGTGTTACTAAACCCAGAACCCTGCATTCATTATATCTGCTCTCCCATAGTACAAAGGAAATGCAATTATTTTAGTAAATATAAGCTGCTAAATATATTTTCTCATCAGCAGTTAGAGCAGTCTTAACACATCTATCAGTGTCCAGCAGAACACTGGTTAAATCTTGTAGGAGGGGTTTTCATTCTGCTCTGACTGTCCTATGAAGCTGCATAACCCCTGGCCCTCTATCCGGACAGTGCTGATTGGCCCTGTGCTGATCATATGCACTTTCCCAAGAAAAACAAACTCTCTAGCAATACACACCATACTGAGGGTGTGCAGTTTGCCCCCAAGGCTTTGTTCTATCAGCAGCTGTATTGGGAACAGAAGAAGAAGGGGAGGATCAGAGAAGACAGGATCAAACATTCTTTTTACACAATGCAGAGGATTAACTCCTTAGGATCCACAATGAGTATAACAAGCATGCTTTACTGCATATACAGACTGATTTTACTGTTGTGGGTTTAGTAACACTTTAGAATATGAAAACCCAACATTTCATATTCTTGATATGTACCTGCTGTGCCATGCACTTGTATGAAAAGTATCCTGTTCTCTTTGTATTTCTCTATTTGTATGAAATACCTGGTGTTCCTGCCAGTCCCTCTGCTTTCCTATTTAAAACTGGCCACCCTAGGCAGGAGAGCACAGAATGGTCAGTTTTTCTGGCTGTGCTTGGAGCTAATCCAACGATCATGCAGAAATGCCCCCCCCCCCCTCCCCTCTCACAGTGTATTTTGTGAACTAATTAATCCTCAAAGATCACAACAGAGCCAGAAATTCACCTTAGTGCACTGCAGTTAGTGATTTGTAGATAGTGAAGTGATGATTGAGACACACACAGGTTTTATCATCAGGACTAATAAGCAACAAACATTTATTGTGTGCTTGAAAATTCAGCCAAAAATGCTATGGTTACGGTACCTGCCTTTCCCCAGAGGCACTATTACTCTTGGCACTGGTCCCTCACACCTCGGACCATTCAGTGGTGAATAAGTAAGGGGAGCTGCGCATGTCAGCGGGATTTTTTTTTTTATGGTGGGTTAGCGTCATTTATTGTGATGGATTTGGATTTGCATTGATGAACGACATGACTGACGATGGATTTAGATTGTGGGATTTTTTTTTTACAAAGGACTTAAAACTGCATAGGTGTGTTTATACAGGTGAAACTCGAAAAATTAGAATATCGTGCAAAGGTTCATTTATTTCAGTAATGCAACTTAAAATGTGAAACGAATATATGAGATAGACTCATTACATGCAAAGCAAGATAGTTCAAGCCGTGATTTGTCATAATTATGAAAACCCCAAATCCACAATCTCAGAAAATTAGAATATTGTGAAAAGGTGCAATATTCTAGGGTCAAAGTGTCCCACTCTAATCGGCTAATTAAGCCATAACACATGCAAAGGGTTCCTGAGCCTTTAAATGGTCTCTCAGTCTGGTTCAGTAGGAATCACAATCATGGGAAAGACTGTTGACCTGACAGTTGTGCAGAAAACCATCATTGACACCCTCCATAAGGAGGGAAAGCCTCAAAAGGTAATTGCAAAAGAAGCTGGATGTTCCCAAAGTGCTGTATCAAAGCACATTAATAGAAAGTTATGTGGAAGGGAAAAGTGTGGAAGAAAAAGGTGCACAAGCAGCAGGGATGACCGCAGCCTGGAGAGGATTGTCAGGAAAAGGCCATTCAAAAGTGTTGGGCACTTTCACAAGGAGTGGACTGAGGCTGGAGTCAGTGCATCAAGAGCCACCACACACAGATGGATCCTGGACATGGGCGTCAAATGTCATATTCCTCTTGTCAAGCCGCTCCTGAACAAACAACGTCAGAAGCGTCTTACCTGGGCTAAAGAAAAACAGACCTGGTCTGTTGCTCAGTGGTCCAAAGTCCTCTTTTCTGATGAGAGCAACTTTTGCATCTCATTTGGAAACCAAGGACCCAGAGTATGGAGGAAGAATGGAGAGGCACACACTGCAAGATGCTTGAAGTCCAGTGTGAAGTTTCCACAGTCTGTGTTGATTTGGGGAGCCATGTCATCTGCTGTGTGTTGGTCCACTGTGCTTCATTAAGTCCAGGGTCAACGCAGCCGTCTACCAGGAGATTTTGGAGCACTTCATGCTTCCTTCCACAGACGAGCTTTATGGGGATGCTGACTTCATTTTCCAGCAGGACTTGGCACCTGCTCACACTGCCAAAAGCACCAAAACCTGGTTCAATGACCGTAGGATTACTGTGCTTGATTGGCCAGCAAACTCGCCTGACCTGAACCCCATAGAGAATCTATGGGGCATTGCCAAGAGAAAGATGAGAGACATGAGACCGAACAATGCAGAAGAGCTGAAGGCCGCTATTGAAGCATCCTGGTCTTCCATAATACCTCAGCAGTGCCAAAGGCTGATAGCTTCCATGCCATGCCGCATTGAGGCAGTAATTGCTACAAAAGGGGCCCAAACCAAGTACTGAGTACATATGCATGCTTATACTTTTCAGAGGTCCGATATTGTTCTATGTACAATCCTTGTTTTATTGATTGCATGTAATATTCTAATTTTCTGAGATTGTGGATTTGGGGTTTTCATGAGCTGTAAACCATGATCATCACAATTATGACAAATCACGTCTTGAACTATCTTGCTTTGCATGTAATGAGTCTATCTCATATATTAGTTTCACCTTTTAAGTTGCATTACTGAAATAAATGAACTTTTGCACGATATTCTAATTTTGTGAGTTTCACCTGTATTTCACTTTTTTTTCAATGCTATTTTTTATGGGGTCCCCCATTAACATCTAACATTTATACCAGACTCTCATCTAGGATAAGCTGCTCCACTTACTTCAAGAACAAAACAGCTGGGAGCTGTCATTTACTAACAATTTATATATCATATTTATTAAATGTCAGTTTTGCTTTAGTAGGTTGTATACCTATATATAAACAGAATCCTTTTGCTTTGGTACATGCTCCCAAGGGCAATGTCCAGTTCCTCTTATGCCATTTGTTCAACAACCCCTTGACTATTAGCCATTCATATTCGGCTATAGTGTTTGCCGAACCTGCCTTGAATCAAACCCAGGTACATTCAGCTCATCTCTAGTGATGATATAAAGAGAAAAGACTAGGACCAACATTTGCTTAGATCAGGGCATTTAAAATGCCATTTAAAGAGCAAGAACATAGGTTAGCACATTTTATATCATACATTTGACTTTACCACACTAGTTTCTGCTAGAGACATTTATTTTAAGTTAATTTTGATAAGGGGCAGCACAGTGGCTAAATGGTTAGCACTTCCGCCTGGTAGTACTCGGGTCACTGATTTGAATCCCAACCACGGCACCACCTGCCTGGAGTTTGCATGTTCTCCCTGTGACTGCGTGGGTTTCCTCCAGGTACTCCGGTTTCCTCCCACACTCCAAAGACATGCTGGTAGGTTAATTGGCTCCTGTCTCAATTGTCCCTAGTATGTGTATGTATGAATGTGAGTTAGGGACCTTAGATTGTGCACCCCTTGAGGGTTAGGGAGTGATGTGAATGTACAATACATATGTAAAAGCGCTGCATAAATTTATGGCGCTCTATAAGTACCTGAAATAAATAAATAATAATCAAAGCAACTATAGAGAATATCTAGTTTTTAGTTGCAGCTTTTGTTAGATTTTAATATTCTTTTGCAGCCTGTAGTTTTAATCAGCAGAATTTAGAAACACGCTTCAAATATGCTATGCAGTATTTAATAATATATACAGTAGATAACAGTTTACACATGATACAGAAAAAAATAATTAATATTTAATATGCAGAATTCATAGGTTTTCTCTAGCAATTGATAAAACCTAGCCATTTTGTAATTGTGAGTTTTCCTAATCATTTGCTTCATGCTAGTGTCAGTGACCTGTCTGCATTATACTTCCTTTCTCTGATTAGTGCTAAAGCTGACCATTAATCATTGGCTAATAGTTTCCTGTCTGTGATCATATAGTTCAGAGCTTGACGTTTATAATCTTCCATACTTAAAAGGAGCTTTGCAAATTGTAGAGGAAAAATAATTATAGCAGATAAGATCATTATTGTCAGTATTATACTTAAAGGATACATTCAGCTAAATAGGTTAATACATATATAGATTGATTTTAGTTGCAACAGGTTTATAGTTCTGTTTATACACTAACACCCAATCCACAAGTGCGCAACAGAAAACAGCAAAACATGGATTGCAAAATCTGGTTGTATAGTGAAGACAGTTTAGTTATTCCTAAGTACTATGAGCATGGTTACTGGCTATACTATAACTTCCTTTGTATGTTGTGCGCATTTGTTTGAACTGTTGTTTTGAAAGAAGGAAGATATAACTGCGTCAGCTTGTTGGTTAAACTCTATATCAACCCTTTTAAAGTGGTATTTTAAAGTGGAATTAAACTCTAAACCAAAAAATGGAATATATTGTAGCTTATTGATCATTAGATGTGGTGGCTGCATTAGTTTTCATTTTTTAGTTATTTTCACCTGGTGATCTGACCAGAAACACACCTGTGTTAGAGTGCATCCACTCTGGATGAAGGAACAGCATTGTCAGTCTGGGCTGAGAGGAGTGTTAGATGGATACACAGAATATAACTGGATGCTAACATTTATAGTTAAAATTGATCCAGGGAATATCCGATTGCCTCTCGGGGGATCAGGAAGGATTGTTTTCCCCTGCAGGAGATAATTGGATCATGCTTTATTGTGTTTTTATGTCTTCCTCTGGATCAACTGTGTGCAGGGGAGGACTGACCATTCGAGCACTCGGGTACAGCCCAAGGACCCGGGGTCAGTAGGGGGCCCCATAAAATGCCCCTGGTACCTTTTTATAGGCTTTTTTGGGTGTGTTTTGAGTGTGGGCAAGGACACAGGGGCCCCATGATCCGCAGTTGCCCAGGGGCCCCATGAGTTGTCAGTCCGCCTCTGACTGTGTGTGTAGGATTATAACTTTTAGGTTTTTTTGTTGAACTGGATAGACTTTTGTCTTTTTTTTTCAGCCAGACTAACTATGTAACTATGTACTAGCAGTTTTCGATACACTAACAAATTTAAGTCAAATGCCAACTAGCACTTGCAGCAAACTGTTTTTTTCCCTTTTCGGATAAAGGTTTTTCATAAATAAATAAAAGCCAATCATTGTAAACACCCCTGTCAGTGGTAATTGTCTCATCTGTGTAACTGATGAGTGACATTCTGCTGGTGAGCTTGTTTTTTTTTAAATAAACAGACTTACTGGACAGATCACCAGGTCGAAATAAAGGAAAGAAAGCCTAAAATGAAATGTTTGCTTTTGGGTGTCCTTTGGACACAGCTGATCACATGACTCGGTAAAA